GCACCCCCTTGGCTCCGCCCCTGATAACATTAGTGATTAGTCTAGGTGACACTCAGTGTCATTAAATGATAGGTAGAATTAAATGAGTCGTTTAATTCTATATTTCATTGAACTTATCATATAGTGTCATCTAAACTGGATTGTAGTTTATAATGCTTGGATTCGGGTATGAATATTGAGTACAAGTTCGTATTTAAGTGTCAGATCTTTCATTTTTTAAAATATAGGATAGGGGAATATGGCTACAAATAGTCCAAATTTTAGACATGAGTACGTGGGTACGTCTTTCACATTTCAATTTTTTTCGCATTTAAAAAGTTAAATAATAATTAAATGGTTAAAATGCAAAACATGTCCCTTAAAACCAATTAGAAATTTATACTAAAAGTTTAAAATGCCAAAACAATAAAAATTTACATAACAAAAACACAAAATTAAAATAATAGTTAGAAATGACGTAATTAATTACGATTGTCATACCTGCTTGAAAATTGAAGGATTTGTTCATATTTTATACCCATACCCATGGCTTGTGTCATGTCAAAACAAGTATGTCGGCCAGAATGTCAAGTCCGAGCATCATATGTTGTACCATCACTGGTTTTACATAACATATTCATCATTTAATGATGGTGTTGTAACAACACACTGATACTTGATAACATTATTTTGGATATCACTATATTTCTTTCTCATTTTCTTAACCACATGTAAGAAATAGATCCCTCGTCTAAACACGATGTCAAGAAAAAAGATGGAAGCGAAGGCATCGAGTCTCTCTTGCTGTATCAGTTCTATAAAAAAGGTTTAGCAATTAGAAATGAAAAATTGATTTATTTTAATTAATCTATCATTTTTCATCAAATCTTGACATTTGTACACTATTCATAAATAGATAATAACGAGACGAGAACGTTTTGTTAAAGGCAGCTTCTCCTTCTTCTTGCCTACATCGACAGTACGTTTTGTTAAATTTAAATTAGTGACTTATTTTCTCATTTTACAGTGAAAATTTGTGTTTTGAAATATATCTATTTACAAGTTAACCTGCATATAAATAACCTTTTAAGTATAGCCAAACATGGTCTAAGTCATGCCAATTTTGGGAGGTTGGAAAAATAAAAAACATCACTGTGGGCGTGATTAGTAAGTCTTTTGTCTTCAGTCTCTCTAAATTGTATTATATTATACATACGACGGTGGGACCCCTTACTTTTCAACAATATGTTGTACTAATTTTCTAACTTGACTTTATTAAAGTTAAGACAGAGATGCTCCTTGAGTTTATGGCATATGACATTTGTTGATTGATTGGTGATTCGAATACGACATTTTACCTTAATAAATTTGTTAATACCAAGTAATCTCCTGTCGGATCAGTTTCCAGACGGGAATTTCTTGGGCTTTCAGTCATAGTTGCATAGGAAACGCGCGTTCACATCACCCATACATACGACAAATTAATTACAGCTTGCTGATAATGAAGTTATGAAGTTTTTCTAACAAGTAACAAGTACTCAGCCTAACCCTGCAGAAACATTCAGTCCTTAGCATCCAAGAAAAGAGGTTCAGGGGAATAGTTCTAAAAAAATTAAGGAATGGCTGAGTCTGCAGTTTATTTTCTGATTGAAAAGCTTACAATCTTATTGTCTGAAAAGGCAAAATTGTTCAAAGGCGTCAGGAAGGATTTTGAGTACGTCAGGGATGAACTTGAGAGGATGATAGCTTTCCTGAGAGTTGCTGACGGCTTTGAAGAGAGTGATCCAGAGCTAAAAGTCTGGGTTAAGCAGGTGCGAGAAATTGCTAATGACACTGAAGATGTCATCGACGAGTTCTTGCTCCACTCTACACTTAATCATGGCAGGCATGGAATCCATGGTTTTCTTGGTGAATTATGTTCTTCTCTCAAAAACTTTATATTCACCCCTAAAGTTGCCTCTGAAATACGAAGCATAATATCCAGAGTGAGGAATATTGCAGAAGGACATCAGAGATATTGTTACAAGTTGAGTATTCAAGAGCAAGGCTCAAGTTCAGGTTTTGTAGACTATTCAGTGAATGATTGTCGTGGAGATGCGCTTCTACTAAAAGAAGGTGAGCTTGTGGGCATCGAACACCACAAACAGAACCTGATTCGGATGCTTATTGAGAAGGATCTTGGACTTAAAGTGATTTCGGTAGTTGGGATGGGAGGTTTGGGGAAAACCACGCTGGTTAAGAGATTGTTTGATGATTCTGTAGTGAAGAAACACTTCCAGAACCATGCCTGGTTAACTGTCTCTCGGTCGTTTAAGATTGAGGATCTTCTAAAAGACACAATTCAGCAACTTTTTGATGAAATCAAGCAACCCTTACCTGAAGGAACTGGTTCCATGAACAGTAATAGGCTAAAAGAAATTATCAGAGAATTCCTACTTGGAAGAAGGTACGTGCTTGTGTTTGATGATGTGTGGAGCATTCCAGCATGGGAAGCCATCAAATATGCACTGCCGAATGAGAACCATGGAAGCCGTATTATCCTCACAACACGGCTCATTAATGTGGCATCCTCATCTTGCATTGAAACTAATGGATTCGTGTATGAATTGAACCCATTGTCCGAAGAGGAGTCTTGGACTTTGTTTTGCCAAAAGACATTTCAGGGGAACTCATGTCCTCATCATTTGATTGAAATTTGTTCAAATATCTTAAGAAAATGTGGGGGTTTGCCACTGGCAATTGTGGCCATTGGCGGGCTTTTGGCAACAAAGAACATGTCGAGAGTAGGTGAATGGGAAATGCTCAATCACAGCCTGGGGCCGGAATTAGAAGGCAACGATGCACTTGAGAGCATGAAAAACATTTTGCTGCTCAGTTTCAACGATCTGCCGTACTATCTAAAACCATGTTTCCTGTATTTAAGCATTTATCCAGAGGATCACTTGATTGAGCACAATACCCTGATTCGACTATGGATAATGGAAGGTTTTGTGAAGCAAAAAGAGGGTAGGACATTGGAAGAAGTTGCAGAAGGATATCTTAATGAGCTCATCAACAGAAGCCTGGTTGTTATGGTGAAGACCAATGATGATGGAAGTTTGAAATATGGACAGATCCATGACTTGTATAGGGAGGTCATTCTTTCAAAGGCACGAGAACAGAATCTTGTTACTACCAATGAACAGAAGACAATGTGGCCTACAAGGGTTCGACGGTTATCAATACACAACACCTTGGAACATGTAAAAAAGGAAAGGTATGGCACTCGAGCCCGTTCTTTGCTTACCTTCGGTGTCACAGATGTCCAATCCATGCTGAACATTCTTCAGTTGCTGAGCAGCTTTAGGATGCTCAAGGTTTTATCTTTAAAAGATGTTCCCCTGCCGGCAGTTCCAAAGGCAATTTTCACAATGTTACATTTAAGGCACCTGAGCTTGAGAAATACGAAAGTGAAAGTTCTTCCAGGATCTATTAAGAAGCTCAAAATGCTAGAGACATTGGACCTTAAGCAGACTTATATAACCGAGTTGCCTGTCCAGATCCTAGAGCTCCATCATCTGAGCCATCTATTATTATATCGTCATGTAGTATACTCTTATCTGCCTTATGATTGTGCATATGGTTTTAAGGCAATTAAAGGGATAGGAAGATTGATATCGTTACGAAAACTGGGCTACATGGAGGCTAGCTGTGGGAGTGACACGATTAAAGAAATATCGATGATGACAGAACTAAGGAGACTGTGCCTAACTAAATTGAGAAGGGAAGATGGAATGGCCGTCTGCTCATCCATCGAAAAGCTCCATAATCTCCGTTCACTGAACTTAAAATCAACAGAAGAAGACGAGGTACTCGATCTTCAATATCTGTCTTCTCCTCCCCCTTTTCTTCAGAGATTATACTTGACAGGATGCATAGAAAAGTTCCCAATTTGGATACAATCTCTTCACAGCCTGATAAAAGTGTACTTCAGATGGAGTAAGTTAAGGGACGATCCGCTTCAGTATCTCCAAGATTTGCCCAGTCTCGTCCATCTTGAATTTCTTGTGGGTTTTACAGGAGAAGAACTCTGTTTCAAGGCTGGAAAGTTTCAGAGACTTAAACTATTAAATTTTGACAAACTAGAACCTCTAAGGAGGGTAGTAGTTGAGGAGGGTGCAATGCCTCATCTTGAAAAACTAGTTATCCAGAGATGTAACTTGCTAGAGAGAATTCCTCAAGGAATTGAACACCTTATTGAACTGAAAGTTGCTGAATTTTTCGACATGCCGGATGAATTTATTAAAACAATGGATCCACACAGACTAGGTGAAGATTACTGCAAAGTTGCCCATATTCCTGAAGTATATTACACATTTTGGCGGGATGGAGGTTGGGAAATCTATCCATTAGAGCAAAATCCTGCAGATATGAATTTTCGACAGCCTAGAACTGTCATTAGAACTCAAGGACGACGGAATTCACTGTGATTCATAATTTGCACCCTTAGTGCATGTTTGATATGTATTAATAGATAAGATTGCACGGTACATGTACAAGTTTTAACTTACCTTTCTTAATACAGCCAAGTACTATTAAATTTATTGTCTCTAGTGCTCAACCCAAAAACTTATTACTTCCAATGGTTTGTATTAATTTTCTGTACTTTCTATTTTCATCACCCAAAGAGAAACTACAGAAATTTTTAGTTTTCATCTGTGACTTTTTATTATGTTAAAAGAGTAACTAAAAAATTTATGTTTCACAAAATAAGTAACCTACAAATGAGTTTAACTTTTAGACACAATCAAATACGCATGGGAGTGGAACTTGTGGATGAACGTTCGCCTACGAGCAGTTTTTTCTTTTAATCGCGTCTCCAATTTTCGTGCTAGATCATACCACTATCACCACTGTAAATACTTTCAGTACTCCTTTTGTAATATCGAACCAACATAAGCAAAATCTCTGGTTGGATTAAGATTTCAGAGAGAGCCACCTTCTTATTGATGTGTCCTAAAACAGTTCTAGTCAAAATGAAATAAACTCATTGTTAGATTTTAGGTGTTCCAACCTTACTTCCCGGGCTCAGAAACAACTACAATCGACACCACACTTCTCAAGCTCAACCCCAACACTTCCCTCCACCTCGGTTGCCACAAGTTACACTCTCTATATTAACCCACAAAGGATCAATAATGGGTGGATGCAATAAACCACTAAGGTAAGAAGAAAGAAGAAGAAGACAATGGCTCCAAAGGGACCAAGAAATCGGGCTGCTCTCTTTCTCTCTTGCACCACACCAACTCACGGTTCCAAAAAGGATGGATATATATTCAAATGGGATTAGGTCACATGTTATTGGGCCAAAGGTAAGGGAAAAAAATCATAAATCAGGCATATAATTTACACCAATTCGCAAATCAGGTTTATAGTTTGAAAAT